CGGGGGGTGGGGGGGGGGCTATTTTAGGAATAGCAGCCAAGTCCAACTCACCCCTGGCAGTCCTGTGCATTAAGAATGTGTGTGTGTGTGTGTGTGTGTGTAATGTTTATGACTGTGAAGTATTTTTAAACTGGGTGCAACCTGTGAAATGAAATTAGACTGCAGCTGAGAATGACCTCTGAACTGAAGGTCAAACTCAAGAGGAAAAAAACACACTCACACCCACTGTGGTCTTTATTTATTTATTTATTTATTTTATTTTTTTAAGAAACCGTTTTATTTTTTTAATGTCGGATTTAAACATGATGTGTGTGTGTGTGTGTGTTTTAACCCGAACCAATGACGTACCAGGAAACACAGTCGATAATGCACTGGTACGTGACTTCCCCGCTGACTGCCGAAAATGGTCAACTTGTTCTTGTGGTATTTGCTGCCGCCTACTGGTCTCCTTTGGACATTTCGCCAAATCATGTTTCCCAAAAATAAAATCATCCACGTTCACAAAATAATAGTAAAATTGGAGCGAGTGTTGATGCAGACACAACAACAAAAATCTGAATAAATGACGTCATCCATCCAGGGTAAGAGGTCAAAGGTGACGTCGACCGTTGGACGAAGACAGAAGCACAAGTAGAAATAAATGATCATTTACACTGATTATTTTTCTGTTTTTTTAATTATACATATAAAGGGAAGTGAAAGTACAAATGACGTCATCAGTGACTACATTGACCTGGATTTCATTAAATCAGAACCAGCAGCAGCTTCAGAGACAGTAGGAGGTTTATTAGTGTTAAAATCCTGGACAATCTTTGGTTAATATTTAAGTATTATTCAACTTTTTTTTTTACATAATTTATTGTTAATGTTCCACATTGTGGCAGAACCACTCCGTTCAAATATTAACCTCAAAACCTGGACACTTTTTATTGGACGTTGAAGTGATTCAGACAGATTGAAATTATGAGACGATTATTAAATACAAAGCTGTTAAAATATAAAACATATATATTTATATATTTGTGTTTTTATTTTAAACAATTCCACAATATTTTTTGTTCTTTTTTTGAAACAATTCCACGATATTTTTTGTTCTTTTTTTGTCTTTTAAATCCTTCACCAAGTAAATGTCAGGACCACATGAAGTACATTCACTGACCTCCAAAGGGTCCGGGACCCCAGGTTGAAGACTTGTTAATGATTCTCCTCCGCGGTGCTGTGCAGGATTAAAGTTCCATCTGTTTTATCACCGACACAAAACCACACACTGTAAAATATCAATCATATTATAACGACACAGTGGGGTGCAGTACGAAAACCTAACAGCAGGTGTCGCAGTAGAGCAGATACATTTTTTGTAGTTTTTTTTTTTTTCACTAAAGTAAACAAAGAAATCACGTTTACTTTGACTTCAGACATTTGTCTGTTCAGCTTCTGAGATCCTCAGCACCGGGGAGCTGAAGTTGGACGAGCACGGAACGTTCTGGGTGCTCAGGTTCATCGGTTCCTTCTTGTCGTCCTCCCCTGATCTGACCTGCAGACTGGGTTCCGGTGAGTCCAGTCCATGCAGTCGGGGCGGGGGCACGAGGTCGTGCAGGAGACTGTTCTCCAGGTGAGAGTTGCATCGAGCCAGGTTGTCGGTTAGATGCTGCAGGTAGACCTCCTCCAGCTGTCTCTCCAAGAGTCCGTTCAGCACCGAGTTTGACATGGGTTCTAGTCTGGACCTGTCCAGGTCCAGACTAGAACCCATGTCTTCCATTCTTCCATTCACACCGGCCCCCATGACCAAATAGCCATCGTCTGGAAGTGGAGAGTCGGCGCCCCTCGGAGGCTCCGGCCATAGGTCCGTCTGACGGATGGGAATGTTCAAACTGGGCTGGACCGTGGTGCTGGTCCTCAACGGGGTTTGTGAGACGCGGCCCGAGTCGGCCACCGTCAGGTCCGGGTACTGGATCAGTAGGCTGCAGTCGTCAATGCACACTGCGAGACCATCAACTGATGGTCTCTGGGTTTGGAAGGAGTCTTCCTCTTCCTGGTTTGGACCTGGTGTAGACACATGAACAGAAATATAGACCTTTTTTTCGAATCAGGACCAGGACCAGGACTAGGACCAGACCATGGATCACTGGTACTTAGCTGACCAGAAAAAAACAAACAAAAAAATTGATGCAACCCTCAAACTGACTTCAGCAAAATAAGTGAAAAAATAACAAAAGGGAAAGTTCTAACCTGACCCAGCAGGCTGACTTCAGCAAAATAAGTGAAAAAATTACCATTTTTTAAAAAGAGGCAAAGTTCTAACCTGACCCAGCAGAGGGCTCCACTGCCACAAATAAGAGTGTTTAGGTGTTTAAGAGTGTTTTAAATTTAAATGACATGTATAATGATTAATTTACCAATCAATCAGTAACTGTAGTGTGTGTGTTAGCCCCGTGACCTCCTCTCTCTCTTTCTCTTTCTCTCTCTCTCTCTCACACACACACACACACACACACACTCCTGTGAAAAATTCTCTGGGAAACAACAGCTCCATGGGACACACAAAAAAGTTGCGAACCAGTGCTTGAGAACAGTAAACGAGGCCCGGTTTACCTGCTGCAGCTGGTTCTGTGGGGTCTACGCCGGTCAGAGAAACTACGCCCTCCTCAGGACCATCAGGGTACGTCTTCATTCGGTACCGTGTGGCGGCTGAAGTCGACTTCCTCTCCCCCCTGTAGGCCAACGTTTGGAGCAAAGCTTCAGCCAGCATGTCCTCCTCAGGACCGTCGTTCTTCTCCGTCTTCTGTTGTCGGCGTTAAAAACCAAACACTAAAGAATCAAACGTACGTCCTCCTCCTCCTCCTCCTTCTTCTTCTTCTTCTTCTTCTTCTTCGCTCTCATTTTTTCCACTTCTAAAAAAGCAGAAGTAAGTTCTGCACACTTCCTTTATCTGTAACTGGAGCAGTGAGCAGTTGGTAGGATCGTTTGAACCGAGCAGACAACGAGTCTCAGGAAACACGGAGGATTTTTTTAACAAACACTAAAATCTCTAAAATATTCAAAATGTAAATATATAAATATATAGAACTCATATTACAGCTGGGATTGTCTCCACGATTCTGAAAAAGACAAAGTGGTAAAAGATGAACGGCCGAACCGCAGTTTGGCTTGGTTTAAAGAAGTGGTTCTTAAAGTGGGGGGCGGGGAATTATTTGTTTGTGTGACTGTGGGAAAAAGATTCCCTGATTTGTAATTTTATTTACTTCCACTTACTTTCACCTCTGGCACCACCTGTGGTAGGAACTGTGTATTACTCTGAATGTTCTTGGAACTCCTGCTCCTCCTACGTTCTTCCAACAGCTCCTTGTACCCAAAGTAGTACTGTACTTGACCGGCCGTGACCTTAAAAAGAAGCTATTCTCACTTCCGCGGTTCTTAGAACAGATTACTGTAGCGCCTCATGATGGTGTGTCACTGTACTTTATTTACCGTCTACAGCTAGCCTGTAAGACGGAAGAGAACATTGGGTAACTTTGTTGTTCGGTCGATGACAGTGACCAGCAGAACAGTTCAACAGTATTCCACTAGGTGGCAGCAAATGGCTGTTCAAACTTTAATTCCTGTGTGTAGATCAGACTTGTGTTCAACTAAACAGGCCCAGCCCGTTTCACACAGAGCCAATGAAATGTGAGTAAATTGAAGCTGAAGATTTAGAGATTTTACTGCATGTACTCGGAACTTTTTGTTTAGTGGTGAGATTTTTTTTTAAAGTGCTCTGACTATGAATTTTAAATCTATACTTTAAACTAATGTTTTTAAATGTATTTTTTTTATAACTAAATAAATGGACACGTCAATGCTTGAAGCTTTATTTCAGGGACGACATTGACTGTAAACAGGGATTTACAAAACACTGTTAGAAGAAGCCAAAATTTAAAAAATAATAATAATAAAAAAAAATCCAACAAACACAACTAATAAAAAGTCACTTTCACATCCATCTGTGTTTACAAACGTCTGTCCCTTTCAAACATTCACGCCGTGATTGAAAAAAAAAGTCTGACATGAAAATGACCTTAAGACACTTTAAAGTAAAAACAACCTGCGGTTTGGGCCCCGTCCTGGTTCTGGTTCTGGTCCGGTCTGATTGAATGATTCTGGACTCAGTGGTGATGATGATTGACATGGACCGTGTTCTGACTTAAGACTTTTTCACAGTGCGTCCATGAAGTGCTGTGAAACACTGAAGCTACATGTTCAGCTAACGTTGATTAGCCTAGCAAGGCAGAGGTTAGTGAAGGCCGTTCTTTATTTACCCATGATGCTTCAATGTCGGACTTTCTAACAAGGCGGACAACAAGGCACAGCTGAGCACATGGAATATTTAAAAGACAGGGGAAAAAAAGTCATTTTAACAAAATAACAAACAAAAAAAACACTTTTTTTTTTAAACATGGTGACATGTTGCTTGCTTCTCTTCTCTCTGGATTTGTTCCGGGTGGTTCTGGGTGTAGTTTTGGGTCCAGGTCAAGTCTGAGGTCTCGGGTGGAAATGATGCCAAGCAGCTACTCCTGCGCCTTCTTTGCGAGCGCCTCTGCCTCCTGTGGAAGGACGAGGAGAAAAAAAATATAAAATGGAGCTTCGTACGTTTCCTTCCACTGCTCTGAGGAGCCCCCCCCCCCACTCCCCCACCACATGCTGTTTCTATGGCAACAAGGCACACCTCGGTGTAGTTCCTGCTGTCACAGAGAGGGGGCGGCAGCGTGCGGGGGGGCTTAGGTGTGAGATTATCATGAACAGATGTGTTATGTAATGTATAAAAATCACATCCTGTGGACAAACACAGGAGCCTGTTTTACAAGAAGTTCAGCGGCGCTGCAGGAACGCACTTCGATATAAGATCTATCAAATACCAGCGGGGGGAGGGGGGGATGAGGGGGGGTTGTTTTCATGGTCTTACCTTGGAGCCTGGGGGGGCGGTCAGACCCAGAAATGCATACACGGCGTTGTCCTCCCTGGCGTCGAAGAAGGCCTCATAGTTCTGAGGAAAGAAGAAAGACTCGGGGTGAGCGACGTTATTCTACCCACAATCCCTCAGGGTTGCTGGTGCGAAACTGACGGTGGAGCAGAGCCACAGTGAGACAGAGACACAACACCAAAATGTCACCAGTGTGTGGAAGGCAGTCATGTGACGGCGGCCTGAACCAATAACACTGCTGCAAAACAGACAAACACATTTAACAAGTCTCTGATTTTACCTCCCTCCCCTGCCTCCCCCGCCTCCCCCATCACACACACACACACAGACGCTGTGGTGACTAGTGTCCTGGGAAACGCTGGTCTCTCTTTGTCCCTGACATTTAATCCAGCCCATCCTTCATCTGCAGCTAACCGTCCAGACAAACATTAGCTTCAGGACACGACGCCTCGCACTCTGAGGCCACGGCAGAGCCAGAGTCCTCTCACCAGGACAGGGCAGCAGGTTAGATGTTAACAGTACGTCTGAGTGAAGCAGGGGGGTCAAATCTACCGCAATAAATCTCCGGAAAAAAAAGTTTCTCAAAAATGACTAAAAATGCACTAATTTGTCTTAAAATACTTAGCTATGTCCACCTCCTCCTACTTCACCTGCTCCACCTCCACCTGCTCCTCCACCTCCTCCACCTCCTCCCCCCGATCCACCCCCCCCCCCCCCCCCACCTTTGGGAATTTCCACTGTTCCACTTTAAGACGGACTCAGATGTATCTGACTTTACATCAGTGCTGCTTTAAAATCTTCAACTTTTATATATAAGTATTTTGACTTTTTTATTTTCCTTTTCATGGATAAAGATTTGCTCAGAACGTCTTAGAACTTCATGACTGATCAGTTGATGGCACTCGGAGCAGAGCAGTGAACTGTGGTCATATAAGAGGATCAACCCCGGTCTGCCCCGGTTTAACGCCCTGGGGCAGGTAGGTATCTTATCTTATCCTGGCACCGTCCAAAGGTCCAGATTAACTGTGACTTCACGGTTCACTGGTCCTTCAACAGGTGCTCAGAGAGCTACGTTAACGCCTGTCACATGACGTGTTAAGTTTCGTACACACTTAATTTTGGATTTCATTTATGTCAGAAGTGGAAGAGTTTAAAGCCCCATTTGTCAATGATAAAACATTTTTTTTCCACTTTAAAAATGTCTTATAAACTACAGAAAACTGCTGCTTTATTAAGTGTTACAGCAGCGGTTCCCAAAGTAGGGGGCGCAGCAGGTCCAAATTCAATATTCTTAATTTATTTTTTTCTGTTTGTCGAACACTAATGCTCTGTTTCATATCAAACGGTGATTCTGTCATTAGTGATGTCATTAGTGATGTCATTAGTGATGTCACGCGTTGACGCTGACGCTGCGTTTCTCACCCCACAGTATTTGCTCTCATTAAATATCTGCGGGGGCAGAGGGTTGCCCGTGGCCGGCCTGGACTCTTCCGGGATGTTCTCCCTCATCCACATCCTGTTGGCCTCGTTGGCGGCGATGTCACACTCCTCAAACTCGATCTTATTGGCTCCCAGGAAACCCATCACATCCTGCTGTTGCTTCTTGATCTGCGTACGAGGAGGAGGAGGAAAAAAAAAGAAAAAGAAAAAAAGGAAAGTGTCAGTTTGAAGAGTGGGTTAACGAAAAAATGAAAAGAAAAAACCCGAACTTGACGTTAGACACTGAGGTCAGTTCTTACTGGAGGTCATTTATTATCGTTACCTGTTAAATCACAGGAAAAACACGAGATGCAAATAAAAAAAAAAAGAAAAAATCAAACCTGACCTTAGGTTGAAGAGCACAGTGACATTATGTTGTTTCGCTACCTGCTACCTGCTACCTGCTCTGCATTTTGTTTTTCTGCAATCACCAGTTGGTGCAAAGGGCCTAGGTTGGGCTGGGGACCCACAGGTTGAAAACCCCTGCCTTAGTTGTTCTAACCCAGGCGTGGGCAAACTTTTTGACCCGACGGCCACAATGGGTCCTAAGACTTGACAGGATGGGGGGGCCGACAAATAACATGTTAAAGTCATACATAAAGGCTAAAATGCTAAAATGCTAAAATGCTTTTAGCCTTTTCTACGCCATCGATTGGGGAAATATATGATAGAAAATCAATAACAGAATTTAGACAAGTTTGTCCAAGCCTGTTCTAACCACTCACAGATTATTAATCACACCTTCATGTCATTAGGTTAATTATGGGGCGTTGAACCAGAACCACAGTCTGAAAGAATGGATGAAGATCTGAGTCTGACTGTATCTGTCACGTCTGCCTCTGTGTGTGTATGAAGCCGTGCTCCAATCAGCACTCAGTGGGCGTGTCCCAGAGGAGCATGGCCCTACAAGGCCTGACGGAAACAAGCGCTCCTCTGGGACTGGAGAGGAGGTAACTGGTCAAACCAGTGGGGAAATATGCAAGAAGACACACACACACACACACACACGCAGCCCGGGCCACACACACACTTAAAATAATGTTAAAATAATGGACCCTAACACAGGTGAACATGCAGACATGCCAGTGTCCTCCAGTGTCCACTCTCCAGACTGTCCAGACTGGACAGGTGTCTTATTCATCAACCATGTGTGGACCAGCAGCACCGCCGTACCAGGAGCTCACTGCGTTGGCAGATTAACCAGCAGCACAGTTTGATAGTAGTTAACACTCCCAGGGCCAAAGTCCTAAAAACCCAGCTCCCTCTCACCCCCCTCCCTCCTTCCCTCCCTCTCCACCTGCTGAGGACGAGGCCTCCAAGTGGAACTCTCCAAACAGAGACCGACTTCACTGTGGAGTGTAGGAATCAGCAGGAGCCGCCGTTTGTAGGTCAGAGTTCTGCCAAAGCTGAACTGATCCACGCTCACGTTCCCGTCTTTTCTTCCTCACTTCTGCCACACTCACTGTACTGTCGCCGAGCAAGACCGATTTTTTTGACCAGACCGATGGCAGGGCAAACTCACTTCAGCCTGTTCCTCATTTGTGGGGAAAAAGAGGACGTATTCGTGACTTTATTTTAAGGCCTCAGATATAAACGCGTTCACCGACGAAGAACACGCCCCTGCAGAAACACTTGGGAAACCCCGGCACAATCCACTGATCTGGAATCAATCTCATGACCCTGTGGCTGTAAGGACTCCACACTGAACACTGAACAACTGAGCTACTGTGAAAGAGCAGCAAATTCTATAAATCAGTGACTCTCAACTGTCGGCCTGTGGCCCGAATCTGGCCCACTGAAACCATCTGAACCGGCCCCAAACTAGATTAAAAAAAAAAGGTTACAGTATAAAAAATGTTGCACTAAATTTGTATTTTTGCTTTTTATTTATGTTATCAATATTATCGTCCGGATATTAGCATAATTATGCAACAGGTATTTTAGCTTTTTATATATATTATCACCTCGATATTAGCATAATTATGTAACAGCTGTAAGAATAGTTTTTCCTCCGATAATGAAAACCCAGTAACAAAGCCTGGGTTTCTCCAAATGATGTGTGACCTAAAAATAGTTTTGGGGAAAAAACTTCTGTATATGAAAGTGAAAGTCACTAGATGGCAGCATTGCAGCTCATTTTATTAACCACCACTGCCCTGCTATCAGTATCAAATTAATTTATGGCTCCAAGTCACAGAGAGATTTTCAAATGTGATCCATATTTCACAGACTCCTTCCTTCTCTCCTCTCATCATCCTTGTTCATTTCACAGTGACCTGCTGTTGTACTTGCGTCATCACATTCCTGGGACGGTGTCTGTAGACCACACCCAGAGCACGACTGCTCCGTCATTAGATGGTTTTCATAACTTGGGCTGAAACGAAAACACGTGCATTTCAATCGTGCAACAACACGACCTGCGCGGCTCAGGTTTCAGGTTCGGTCGATAAAGTGTCGTTTTCCCCGGAGGACGTTTCTGTCTGAAGAACATCAGTGTGTTTGTTGTCATCACAGGGCGGCAGAACCAGGCAGATACAGGGAACGGCGTTCTTCTGGTAAATTGTTTGGAAATATTTGTCCGATCCAGACCTGCATAAAGGACCATTGTGGCTGATCCTGGAATGTGAGCTATGCCTGGATTACGTTACACCATTCTTATTCTAATCATCTCTGTGTGGAAGTGAAATCTGTGTCAGACTGGAGCGCTCTCTGAACAAGGTCAGAGTCGGACCTGAACGGCTGCCAGACTCTGGAGGACGGAGGTCCATTTCCCCGTGTCAGTGTTTCAGACCGAGGTTCTGAGAGTTGGTTCTCCATCGTAGGAGAATTATTTTTGAAATTCCATTTGAAACAGACTCACGGCGTTCCCGATCTTCAGCTGCTACATGATGACATTTTGTACATTATTGTAAAACCGTTAAACCGCAGAATGAAATGCCATCTCCACTAGAGAAGTCCGATAATACCAGCCTACCGATATTATCCGCTCGATATTAGTATAATTATATAATATCGGTAAGAATCATTATCGTTGTTTTCCTCCGATAATGAAACCCCGATAACGCAATGCCTGGGTGTCACAGAATATGCTGGAATCACTTATAGGGTCCTGTGATATTTACCTCAGTTTTGGGGGCAAATATCGGTATTGGTTGATATCAGACCTCCGTAATCTTGAGGCCTGAAAAGTTCTGAAAAGTCGCTACCGTCAAACGGAAACCGATGATCTTTAACAGGTGCCCAAACCTTTCCACGAGGGTTTCCAGGACGTCTTATTTCTGCTTATGTTTCATAGGTTTTCCATGACTTTAAGGAACATGAATGTTCAACTAAATGACCAGTCAACTGACGGGGGAGTCAAAACATCAGAAAATACAGGAAATGGAAATGTGACTCATACGATAGGAATTTAGATTCTGTCCTAATTACGATGGCAGATAAAAGTCCTGTCCACAGAAAATGTGGACAGTTTAGAGGTCCACGTGTCATAGATTGGTCTTCAAGTCTGTATGAAGTGTAATTTAGGTGAAACAACAGTCACATTTTGGGTTCGAACCACAGCCTCCACCCAGTCCTCTGTGGCACGACCACAGACTCATGTCTGCACTGCTGCCCTGGTGTAACAAACAGCCTTCACTTCCAGTCGACATGTAGCCTGAACCAGAAGTCGGCCAGCCAGCCAGTCAGTCAGTCAGTCAGCCAGCCAGTCAGTCAGTCAGCCAGTCAGTCAGTCAGCCAGTCAGTCAGTCAGTCAGCCAG